TGTCCCCTAGGTCTTCTGAGATCAAGGCTGATATGATCTGTCAAGATTCTGCTTCTCCAGTGTTGGTGAGAGCCAGCTGCTCATGCCGGGATGCTTCACTCTGTTCATCCCCTGGTGACACTGCCTAGGTATGTCCCATGTGCCATCTGCCTCCTCCCTTTCAAGGGGTATGGTGTCTGCTTGCTACTGCTCTACTAGAGCCTTCACTGTTCTCCCCAGAAATAGCCCTTCCTTCCCCCCAGCCCAGCCCCTCATTATTCCTGCTAGGAGCCACTCTCCTTCTCAAGATGGGCTTCTCGATGTCCACTGGGCCTGAACACCCCTCGCCCTCTTGGTGCTCTGGGGTAGGAACCACGCTCCTGAACTCTGGACCTTTCCCACCTCCCACAATCCCAGGGCTTGTGGTGACCCTGCCAGCTGGGAGCTGCTCTGTGGTCGCTGTGGTTGAGTGTCAGGTTCTCCTTTTTCTTGCCCCGGGTCTCAGCCCCCTTCTCTGCATTCCATCTGTCCACATCACAGTGCTCCTCTTTCAAGTCCACAGCCTCCATTACTGGTGAGGGATCTTCAGGGCACAAATCCTTTCTTTCAGCCAAGGGAGCAGCCCTACTTCTACTGTGAGGCTTTGGAAACTCCTGATTGTGCCTTCCAGCAGGTCTCCGCTCTGGTCTCTGGCTGAAGCCCCTGGGCCCCCTGGAGCCATGGAGTGGATGACAGGCTTCTTCTCCCGGTTCTTGCAAGCCACTGCATGGTTGCCTTCCCTGGCCTCTGGGGCCTGGCCTCTCCCCTCTGCGCTTCTCCCTCTTGCTCGGTTGCTCCCTGGGCACAGCAGGCCTCTCAGGCCGCCCAGGTTCTGCCCTGGCCTCTGATGCCCCAGCTGGCTCTGGAGTCGAGGCTTGGCCAGGCGGCTGGGGCACGTCTGCAGTGCTTGCACTCACCGGCAGCTCGGAGGCAGCAGCTGCTTGGCCTGGATCTGCAGCAGCTGGAGGCTGAAAGAAAGAGGCCACTGGTGAAGAAAAGGACAGGGGTGTCCCACAGCAGACGACAGTGCTTGGTCCTGCAGCCCAGGGTGCCCTCGGCAGCTCTCTGCCCCCAGTGCCATACCGCCTGCAGGCTGATGAAATAGCGGTTCCTCTCTGCTTCGGGGTCGATGATACCTCCTTTCTCTTGCTGTCTCTTGAAAATTAGGCGCAGTTCTTCCTGGTGCTGCAGCATCTTGGCATCTGGCCTGTATGGCTCCTGAGTGGCAAAAAGCAAGGCAGGGTAAGGGCTCTCTCAACACTTGGCAGGGATAGGCAGTAGCAGGGCTAGGAGCTACTCCCTAAACCCTCCTTTGATTGCACAGTGCCAGGCACCTGCTTCCCTTTGCCACATTGCCAGGCCTATAGATGCACAGGAAATCCCTGGATAGAGGCAGAACATCCCAGTGCAAACCCACTGTTTCTGCAGTGAGTACCCTGGGATGTCCTGCTGTGGGGCGGGATGCAGAGCAGCTACCATCAGGTCACTCTCCTGACCTGATTATATCCCAGTGAGTGCAGGGACATGCCCCATGGCAGAATCACCTCTCCTCCAGCACATCTGCTCACCTCAGGGCTATATAACTGAACCTGCTCTCTGTGAGCTACCCTTTGGACGGGACATCTGGGAGGACCTGAGAGGGCACATTCATTCATCCTTTACAGTGTCACAGTTGAAGCTACCCAGTGGTAGCTGCACAGCTGGGGCAGGTGAGCCCCCATCTCTTACCAGAGGGTGCTGTGGGGGCGGTGCTGCCTTCAGAGCAGAGAGATCATAGACCAGGGTCTCCCGGCAGACAGGGCACTGCACACCGACTTCCTGCGGGGAGGCAAAAGGTGACAGCAAACCCTGTCTGCGACTCAGGTCATGCACTGCCCGGTAAACCTGCCCCTCTTCTGCCAGGGTAGGAAAGCCCGGGGGAGTTCCAGCAGCGTGAAAGCAGACTGGGTCTCAATGACTGCTATGGAAGGTGTCTTCACATGAGGCACGCTGGGACTTGTGCTACAGCAGCTGGCTGCTGTACAAACCACCCCTGTCAGCACCTATGGCTTCAGTCCTCCTTAGCCTAGGATCTATTTTTCTCTGCTTCAAAGTGGAGCATGTCATCTATGCAGCACCTCTTTGAAAGGGTTTGTAGGAAGGAGTGTTTGACTGGTTTCATGCTCAGCTCCACTGTTTGCTCTGCAGCTGAAAACTGTTCTAGCACCTGCTCAGGCAGGTTTTATCATCCCAGAATGCAGGTGATCATGTTTACCCTGCTGGAAACCTCTGCAGTTCAAGGACTAGGAAAGGAGCTCTCTTTTCTAACTCCTGTGGTTCCAGAAGTCCAAAAATGCAACCCCCTGCCCCCTCCCACAGCATGCACTGACCCAGAGATCCAATAAACCAACATCCTTGGTTGAAAAGGGTCCTTGAAGATCACTTGGTCTAATCCCTACTCTGATTCTCAGCACAGGTACAAAACTGACCGTGCTGCCGGGTCACACCAGCCCTCATTCCATGTCCCAAAGAGGGTGATACAGATGTCATGAGGGTCTGTGCAGGGGGCGAGGGGAGAGGGCCCAGGCCCTGGTACCTGTTTGGGAGATAGTGAAAGGTGTTGATCTCTCTCCTCCTGCTGCATGAGGATCTCCTCCTCCATGTGCTGGGCATAGCGGGCCAGACAGTGGGAGTGGAAGTAGTGGTAGCACTGGGTCTTTGTGAAGGCTTCTCTCTCCTGTCAAGAAGGGCAGCTTTGAAGGATTTCTTAGCACAGGGTTGTGTAGCCTCCCCAGCTGAGGTACGTTTTCACTTCCATGTCAGTGGTGGCAGTGGGAAACTAGTGCTGGCTACAGCCACCTAACATCTGCTGAGCTTCATCTCCACTTCTTCAGCAATTACTGGGATGCTGCTCCTTGTTTCAAGTGTTAGAAACACTCTTAATGTCAAGATGCAAAGTTTACGTGACTGATTTCTCTGTGTGTCTTTCTGTGTAAGCAGCAATCTTCCCATCTGATCTGTTCTCCTTCCTAGGCAGGCATTGACTTTCCTTGCAACTCAGACAAGATCAGCTCCCCAGCCCTCACAGACCTCAGTATCCATCACACATGGATGTGTTCCAGTCCATCCTGACCACCTGTGTGCTGAACTCCAGGTGAGGTATGACCTAAACAGGGAAGCTGAGATACACCAGCAACTATCCTCAGACTCTACCAGCTTCTTTGGAGACGCTCTGGCATCTCTTGGTGCCCCTGTGCCGTTTCTGTAGATGATTATTTCAGGCCGATGGGGAGAGTAGCGTGTATGGCCCTCTGAAGGCCCATGTGCAGGCAGATCACCCACAGAATGGGGGCAGGGGCCTGCTGGGGCTCACCCTGGCCCCAGGCTGATATCCCAACCCCAGGCTCCCCATTCTCTTGCCTCACTTCCCAGTCAGCTTGCAGGGCCAGGAGACACATGCCTACCTGGAATCCATAAAGGCAGATCACACACTGTCCATGAGGAATGTTGTTGTCAGTGAGAATCTCCTTCCCCTTCTGTGGAAGCATTAAAGCAAACATTTTACTCACTGGCCTGCACATGTGCTCAGGGCTCTCCCGACCCCTCGGGCAGCCAGGGACCAGTATCTGTGGCTGGTAACCCCCAACTTCCCCCAACTCTCACCTCAATCAGTTCATAGAGCACCTCTGTCCCCAGCCTGGCTTCAGCAACACTTCTGAGGGTCTGGGAAATCCTACAGGAAAGCAGCAGAAATGCTTAACACAAATTTAGCTACACCTTTTCACTGTCCCACATACCTGCCATGGTGACATGAGGAACAAACAGAGCACTGGTCTTCAGGCTTTGCTTGGAGCACAGGATGGGCACAAGTGCACACACATATTCATGTGCTGTCCTGGCTCCCCACAAGCTGGTGCACAGGAAGCCTTTGACAGGACTCAAAGGAGCAGGTTTGCTGGCAGCCTCAGCTTGAGCTCAGTTTTGGTGAATCCCAGGCTTTGTTTTATCTGATGGCAGTCCCTGAGCAGGTGTGGTGGGAACTGCTGGCAACACAATCCACTGCACCAAGGACTAGAGCACAAAGGCAACAACAGGCTGCTTGAGTCAGTCCCACCTGTCAGAGCAGGACCAGCAGCTTCCAAGGCACCAGGGATTCAGATTACATTTCAGGGGGACCACAGGACAACAACTACAGGGTGGACCCCTCAGTGTCAAATTCAGCAGCAGTGGCTCCCATGAGATTTAGGACAAAGAGATTTAGGGACCTGTATCCATCCACTAACCAGACATGGGAAGTCATGTGATTTAGTGAAGGGTTTTCCTTAAGTTTTGCCTCCTGGATCTCTGGAGGAAAGGATTGCCTTCTCCCTGCCCTCCTGGCACTCACTTTTGAATTTGCTCATCTGACAGGCCCCGCGGGTTCCTGATGGAGATCTCCGGAGTTTCATTAGGATACTAGGAAAAAAAAAGAGAAACGTCCAAAGCACAACAGGAAAGGTGGAGAGGCCCTGGACGGGGAGGAGCAGGGGCGAGGGGGGCGGGCAGCCTACCTGCGGGGGCACGGAGAGCACCAGGGTGAAGCGGACGTACTGGGAGTCCTGGTCCTCGGCCGTGGCGGGGTGTAGGGTGATGCTGATCTCCCAGGGCTCCCACCTGGAGGGGGGACAGGCCGGGGTGAGCGGGGCAGCGCGGGGCCGGGCCGGGCCGGGGATGTGGGACGCGGGACGTACCTGCCGCGGCCCCGCGCCACCCGCAGCTCCTCCAGGTAGATGGACTCCAGTACCTCCAGCTCCGGCAGCAGCGCCCTGCAGGGACCGACGGGGCAGGGGTCAGACGGCCCCAATGGCCGGGGGTGCGGGACCGCGGGGGCCCGGGGAAGGTGCGAGGGGTGTTACCAGTCCGCCGCCTCCGCCTCTTCCCCGGCCGCCGCCATCGTCCCGCTCGCTCCGGAAGCGGAAGTGGGGAGCGCGTTGCCAAGCGACGGCGCGGCGGCGGCGGGTGTGGGGCAGGAGCGGAGCGGGGCGAGGGCCGTCCCGTCCCGTCCCGTCCCGTCCCACCCCACCGCGGAATTGCTGCGGGGCATCGGCAGGGCCCGTCCAACCCCAGGGTTGCTGCGGGGGCGTCGGCCGGGGCTCGGGGCTTGTCCTGCCCTGGAGCCGGTGGGCAGGGACGGAGCCTGGCGTGGGGGTGGAGAGGGCGATACCCGCCCAAGGGACCCGGCCCCCGGTGCAGCACCGCGGTGAGTGGGAAAGCCCCGTCCCTCGGGATCTGGGATCGCAGGGGTGCAGTGCTGCCTTCCCAGCGCTGGCATTGCCCGGCTCCATCGCGGCTGCGGCCGGTGCCCCATGGCAGCCCGTGGCGGGGGGAGAGAGGGCGAAGCGCTGCTCCTCACCGTCCGCTTTGCCTCGGCAGCTCAGCGGACCCGGCCCAAACGATGGAGCGGTACCACGTCCTGGAAATGATCGGCGAAGGCTCCTTCGGGCGCGTGTATAAGGGGCGCCGGAAACACAGCGCCCAGGTGAGGGGAAAGGACCGGAGGTCTGCTCTGTGGTGCCAGGGGCTGATTTCTGGTGCCTTTTTGGTTCTAAGGCTCTACCAGGCCTTTGGGACTCAGCACTGATTTGGGTTTCTGCTGACATACCTGGCCAGCTCCTGATGTCTTTGTGGGCCAAAAACCCGGCCACAATATTGCCAGCGTGGCCTAGAAGGTTCCAAATAAAGGGCAATAATTGCTTCCCTGCAGCTTCTTTAGCCTAGGGTGCTGCCAGTGGCCCTCACTGCCAGAGCACACTGCTGGCTTGTGTTAGGCTTGCTGTCCACCAGCATCTCTAGGTTCTGTTCCATGTTTCTGGAAGTCCTGATTTTATCTGTGTTCACTGATCTTTGCCTTAAATGCCACTGTGAAAAGTAGTGTGAACACCAGTACTTATGTGCAAGGACCTGAGGAGAGCCCCAGCTCCAAGTGGTCCATTCAACAAATGTCTTGTTCAGTGTGCTCAGCTGGAAAGTGCAGAGTCTGATTATGGTTAAAAGCAGCCTTTGCCAGGGTGGGCTTGACCAGAAGCCTGATCTAATCCCAGCTTTTCCTACTTGAAAAGGTGGTGGCCTTGAAGTTCATCCCCAAGGTGGGGCGGTCTGAGAAGGAGCTGAAGAACCTGCAAAGAGAAATTGAGATCATGAGAGGCCTCCATCACCCCAACATCATCCAGATGCTTGACAGCTTCGAGACTGATAAGGAGGTGAAGGGGACTACTCTGGGCAAATGCTTTTGCTCAACTGGGCCAGGGGAACAAGGGCTGGCCCCTGCTGTCCTAGGGACATCTTTTCTTGGGAGTTGCTGGTGACACCATCCCAGGGTCTGGTTAGTGTTTTTCAGAGCCCTCTGGGATGTGCTGTGTGGGCTGCACTAGGTTATATGCAGAGGAGAAGGAGATGACTAGGGGAATGCAAGATGAGTGGTTTGAGATTACAGGATGAGGATGATTCTTCAGTCATCTCATCAGTCTTTTCAGAGACTGGCTTTTCACTGATTTATACTCCTGTGAAGGTAATAGGATAAAAGGACTGAAGACTCTGCAATGGGGCATGAGGGCATGAAATAAAGTAATTGGGCAGCAGATTCAAAACAAGCTCAAGGGAGTGATTCTATTCACTGGGTTTGGGAGTACTATTCTAAGTTTGTCCTATCCTTCCCTCTTCCCTTGTTTCTGCTGGCTGTACAAGATACAAGACCTCTGCTAAGTGCCAGGCCCTTGCTGCAGTGCAGCCATGAAGGCTCTCTTCCATCCCAGGTCCCAGCCCAAGCTGATGGACTGTGCACAATGACAACCCAGCACCCCCCTCAGACTTCCTGCTCTGCTCTGTCCTGGTCCCCAGGGCCTGATCTCACCATGCTGCTCTTCCCTCCAGGTGGTGGTGGTGACTGACTATGCAGAGGGGGAACTTTTCCAGATTCTGGAGGACGATGGGAGTTTGCCTGAGGACCAGGTGACTGTCATGATGGTGGCCATGCAGTGTTTGCAGGTTGAAGAGAACAGGATTTGTCTGCCTGCAAGCAGAGGGTCTCTGCTGTGAGCCGGGACGTGTCAGGAGGGTGAGGGTGCCCCTGGAGCTTTACCTGGCAGAGCTTCTGAAAAGGATGAAGAGGGAGCCAAGTTGCACCATGGGACAGTGGGGTCCTGCAGGGACCTTGGTTTCCTTGTTCCCTCTCCAAGGGCTACAGCACCAGACTGCTGCCTTGGCCATTGGCCTACTCCAAGGAACTGCTGGCCCACAGCTGGGGTTGGTCCCTGCCCCAAGAGGCCAAGGGCAGAAGTAGGGGTACTGGGGGAGCCAGGCTGTTAGGGACATGGTTGTGCCAGCGTGTGGCACCGTGGGACACAGTGTGAGGCTCCCATGTCTCTGGCAGGTCCAGACCATCGCTGCTCAGCTGGTCTCTGCTCTCTATTACCTGCACTCCCACCGCATCCTGCACCGAGACATGAAACCCCAGAACATCCTTCTGGGCAAAGATGGTGTTGTCAAGCTCTGTGACTTTGGGTAAGTGCTGGGGGCCAGCTTGAGGGGGGCACTTGCCCTTAAGGCAGCCAAGAGGTGCAGAAGGGGGCCGGATTTTGTGGATATTTAGAGGTTAAGCAGAGTGGGAGGATTTTGTCCTCCAGAGGGAAGAAGTGTTGGTAAACTCACAGGGAACTCCCTGGGAGCTGCAATGGATGTTTCAGCCTGAACTTGCCATCTGTGCTTTGCTCTGAGCAGGTTTGCCCGTGCCATGAGCATCCATACCATGGTGCTGACCTCCATCAAGGGCACCCCACTGTATATGTCCCCTGAGCTGGTGGAGGAGCGGCCGTATGACCACACAGCAGATCTCTGGTCTGTGGGCTGCATCCTGTACGAGCTGTTTGTGGGCACTCCTCCCTTCTACACCAACAGCATCTTCCAGCTTGTCAGCCTCATCGTCAAGGACCCTGTCAAGTGGCCCACGGCCATGAGCCCAGTGTTCAAGGTAAGGGAGAAGGCCCTGTGTGCAAGGTGAGCTGCGTTAATACAGCTTCGGCCTTGCTTGCTGCCCTGGTGAGTCACTCTTAGCTTTTATGCCCCTAACAGGGACTTTGGAATATAGACAAGGGATGAGAGCTGGGCCTCCTGGGAGGGGGACCCTTATCATTGCTGTCCATAAGCTGGGAAACTGGGGCCAACAGCAAAGGAGTGATTTACTGGACTGGGAAGGGAAATGTCTTCCTGTCTGCCCTAAGCACTAGAGCTACTCGTTTCCCAGAGCCAGGCAGGGAAGGCAGGCCTCCTGGGTGCCTCACTGGGGGAGACTGGTGAGTACACTGTGCACACTGGTGCATGCTGAACATGTCTCAGTGATCCTGCTGTCCTGTAGAGCTTCCTTCAGGGACTACTAATGAAGGACCCCCACCAGCGTCTGTCATGGCCAGAGCTGCTCTCTCACCCATTCATTGCTGGACGGGTTACTGGTGAGTGCCTGCTTTTTGCAGCACTGGACAGGTCCGTTTCCTCCTCCTACTGCCTGGAGACTCAGAGGACCGCCCTTCCCTGTTGTTTTTACTATTCTGGTCTTTGCCTCCCTCCTCTCAGCTTTCTCCAAGCACTGACTCCTAGCTGCTTATGAAGTTCTCCTCTCACCTCCCAGTGATCGATGACACAGAAGAGTGTGGGATCTCAAACCCCTTTACCACAAAGCTGTCCCCAGAACTGCAGGCCCTGAAGGAACAGCAAGCCCATTCCCTGGTCCCCAGGAGCAACCAGTCCAGGATCCTGAGAAAGGCCCAGCGGAAGATGGTTGAAGAGGCACAGAAAAAGGTGGAGGAAAGTGGGGGGTTCTCCTGGCTGTGTCCCACAGTCGGGGCAGAGGAGGAGCACTGAAATGGGCCCTGGGGGAAACACATGAGTACATGGATCAGGCTGGGGTGTCAGTGACACACAAAGCGGGATGTGGGGTGCACAGGGTGGTAGGGTCTAGGAGACTCATCTGTCTGATTAACTGCCCTGACCAAACTTCTCTGCCATCATCAGGGGCAACTGAAGGCAGGTGATGCATCTATGAAGGACTCTGGCAATGGACACCCCAGGCATAGACCCAGAGCAGGTCCAGGCAAGGCAGCCCCTGAGGAGGGGGAGTCACTGGCTGCCTCCAATGAGAATAACTCTGGTCTCCTGCAAGGAAAGAGCAGCATGGCAGAGTGGGAATTGGAGGAGTCTCTTCCTGACCCATGGTGAGAGAGGGCTGAGGCTGGGGCAGGAGGAAAAGGGGGAGAAAGGTCTTTCACCGACTGTGTTGTTTCCTTGGCCAGCCAGCACAGCATCTCTCGAGACTATGAACGGGAGTTTCCTGGAGCAGGTGCCCCTGCACAGCCTGATGCTGGCAGGGCAGAGCCCTGGGGCAGGCGCAGCATTGAGGCCGTAGACCTGGAGAGTGAGGTAAGATAGTGTCTTGAGGTGGGGACACCAGGATCTAGTCTCCAGGGGCTGGTACAGAGACCCTGGGACTGGCAGGGTCTGTGGCATCAGTCCTCTCTCCTCCACGGCTAGGAGCTGGAGAGCGATGAGGAGTGGCAGCACCTGATTGAGGCCACTGAGCCCTCGGCCATGCAGCTGAGCACATCACTGAGCCTCCTGAGGGACCCAGCCTTTCAGCACCGTGTCAAGGACTGCCTGGCAGACTCTGCTCAGCAGGTAAGTGATGGCTGGCCCAGACAGCTGTAACTGGTAACATGGATGCCGCCTTTTTCTCCAGGATTGGGTTCGGAACATCTGGAGAGTCCTTAGTCCAGCAAGCAAAAAGATTCCCTGCTTCTCCAGGAGTTGGAGCTGTCTTATGCACTTAGCTTGCCATCTGCTACTCTGCTGTCCCCTGCATGAATGCTTGAGGGGCTGCCCCATGGCTGATGGAGAGGCCAAAACCGCTGCTAATTATGAGCTCTTCTGGCTTCTCCATGTCCAGGTGCTGGAAGGGATGCTGGAGGGCGCCTCCTATCTCCGTCCTGTGCTTCGTGTTGTGGGGAACCTCCTGGCTACCCAGTGTGACCCTGAGCTGCTGGACCACTTCTGCCAAGAACTGAATGTGCCTCTGTCCCTGCTGTGTTTAGCCAAGCAGATCCTGGAGAGTGGTTGCACCAAGCAGGTGGGTATAGGACCCCAGAGAAATTCAGGCTCCTTCCAGCCCTGCAGAGTGCTGGTGCTGAGGAGGCCCTGGTGTCCTGCTGGAGCTGGCTCACAGGACCGGTGCCTCTTCCAAGCATCCTTGAGAAGGGAAAGGTTCTGGCAGGGAAGAATCCTATCACAGTGGTGTGGGGATGGCCAGCAGACAATCCCCATTTGCTGTTTCTTTCTGGATCCTGCAGCAGCCCTGGTGTATCACTGTGCTGACAGACCTCCTCATGGTGACCACAGTTTATTTCAGCAGTGAACGCAGCCTGGAGGAGAGTGGGCAAAAGGACAGGTAAGGACAACCTTCTGTGCCCTAAGGTCTCTTGTGGCCACTTTGGGGACCCAGCAGTAAGCAGGAGGGTAGTGTTCATACTCTGCATGCGGAGTCATCTCTGAGGGGAAGCATCATGGACTAAGCACCTCATGCCAGATCGCTGTGCTCACAGAGGAGCGCTTTCCTTCAGTGGGACTAACTAAGGGGAAGGCAGCTGTGCTGTCCACAGTCAGTGGACACACAGTCCAGTTGTGGTGCCCACTAACAGAAGCTCACAGTGTGAGTGTGTGCTGCCTGCCCCATTAGCCAGGGCCACATGAGCCTGGCCAGATCCTGTTCTCGTAACCAGGGGCCATGATTCTCCACTCTCATCTGCCCCTGCTGCTTCCCCCAGCCTGCAGACCTTCCAGGAGAGTGCTGGCTGCTTCCTGGCCCTGCTGCCGGAGCTGCTGGCTGAGCCAGTCGACAGTGAGATGAGACTCTGCCAGCAAAGCCTCCTGGTAAGGGTGCCCCCATCTCCCTCCTCCCCACCCTTTTCTGTAGGGACAGAAGGTGTGGGGCTGTCTCTGTAATGTCGAGGGGATGCAGGCTGAGGACCCTTCTCCTAGCTATGGGTCTGATGCATTCTTCTCAGGGCAGGCTGTCTCACCCACTGTCTCACCCACTGTGCGGGATTGCATACAGAAAGGAGGTCTCTGAGGGGGCACCTTCCCTGGCTCTGCCATTCTGGGGTAGCTTTACTGGCTGAGCCAACAGCAAGTGCAGTCCCTGATACACACCCTGGCACAAATGGCCTTGTGGCCAGGCAGTGTCACTTCACCAGATGTGTCCCTTGCTCTGCTACTGAAAGCTCTGCTGCTGGGATTATGATGGGTGGGCACAGTGTTGGAGTATGATTCACATGTGACTCAGGCAGCAGATGCATACAGGCTTGTATTTGGTATCATCTTGCTTTTAGCCTTTTTTTTCAGGCTGCATGTTTTAGAGCCAGAGGAAGCAAGAGTAAAAAGAGCTCTTGCTCTTGGGTAATGCGTTGGGTGTGCTCTGCTAGGCTGTGACAGGTGTGGAGGGACACATGCTTCCATGTGTACCCCTCACTTTGCCAGTATGCAGCCAAAATGTGGGTCTCATACTGTAACCTGGCTGGAGAGGACACTTGGAGGTTCCTGAAGCTCCAGCACGAGTCCTTCTCCCATCTCTGCTGTCCCGCCACAGCCTCCTCCTGCGCTGTCCTTCTCTCTCTCCTCCCACATTCATTCTACAGTGGTGGCAACCCCTGTGTCTTCCCCAGTGCTTCACCCAGCTCTGTGAGAGCCTGGATGCAACAGACCCCTCCATCTCTGCACCTTTCTACGCCAGCCTGCGAGAGGAGCATCAGCCACTGCTGAACAGACTCCTTCACGGGTCCATCTCAGAGCAGCCTGCTCTGCGAGGTAGCATGGTAGCAGCTCACCACTTCTTCCTGAGGTTTCCCTTCTCTCTCTCTTGCTCTTGGACTCCATCAGAGCACTGGCAGCCATTGCAGTGCTGCTGGCCAGAGAAGGTGGCTGAAGCTTATCTGCCCAGACCCCTACTAACCAGGGCTCTTCTCTCCCTTAATCTCAGATCTCACCCTCCTCATGTCACCCTTTTCCTCTCTTGCCCTCCAACCGCATCCTGCTGCCCCTCAACACCCTCAGCAACATGACTCCCAAGCTCTGCCCCTGCATAGGTGCAGCGATGGAGGCCAAGTCAGACCAGAGCCCATGTGTGGCAGACCTCTTCATGGCTGCACTGGCTGCTGCCTGCAGTATCCCCCTGGAGAGGAACAGCTGTCGGGAAGCCAAGCAGCAGGTCAGACCACCTCTCTGTACAGGGTGAGGAGGTGTGGTCCCCACAGGGCAGTAGCCCTTTCCAGGAGGATTTATTTCTCAGCAGTGGAGTGGAGGGCTGGGATCCTGTGCCTTTGATGGCTGCAGGGCTGGCTTTTGCAGACTGGTCCTCCCAGCTGAGCTTTAGGAATCTAAGGATTCTTAAATCAATTGAGAGACTTAAACTTAGCCCATCTCACAGTTCAGATCCTAAGTAAAGAACTAGGCAATACAGAGAAAACATGAAGAATTCTTATATGACAGTGATATAAACTGTAGGAAATCTGAAATTGAATGGACAATAAGAGGGAAAACAACTAGAGATTAAGATTTCACTCTTTACCTCAACTCTGAGTCAACAAGGAGGGAAGCAGAGGAGGAATCTTACCTTGCTTAGCTCTGGGACTGTGCATCAAAGCCATACTGGGTTATGGCAGGTGGGAATCCCTTTGTGAACACAAGCAACACATAGGAAGCAAATGCCTTCTTTCATTAATTTGTTGCTAGCATTAAACTCCTTAAGTCTGTGCAGTGCTTCAGGTGCCCAGGGTGCAAAACAGGCTGATTTCTGCAGGTCGCTCAGGTAGTAGCTGAAAAGCTTATGGAAGGAGAGAGCCAGCAGCTTGGGAAACTGCTGGGAAGACTGGAGCACTCAAGCTGCTCCTTGAACGTACTGAAGGTAATGGCCCCATCCTTTTATCTGGCTGTGCCCAGAGACATCTTGGCTCTGGAATTAGGAGTATGGGGAAGGGGGAACTGTGGGCTCAGGCCTTAATGACTCCCATCTGCCTGATGTCAGTTGTTGAATAAATGAGCCCATGGTAGCCAGGGGATATGACTGGAGTGGGCCTGGTCACTGTGTTCCTGTCCGCAGGGGTTGGTATGCATTTCTCCCCTCTGCCTCACAGATCCTCTATGCTGGCTGCCATGCCCACCCAAGCCTGTGCCAGCACCTGGGAAGGAGCCAACTGCTGTGGGGTTTCCTCATGCAGCTCTTGAAGGGTGAGGTAGGACTGACCATAGCCTGGTGGGGTGGTGGGGTAGGAGTGTGGGTAAGCAGGACACATTCCTCCGAGCACAGTTTGCACCACTGTAGTGTGGGGAGAAGAGTTTAGGAGAGTGCAGTTCTCCTTCAGGGCCCAAAAACATCCCCTCCTCCCCTTGTACCCTTGGTGTTCCACTGTGACTCCTGCTCCCTTGGCAGGTCCCCTCGGTGGAGGTGGCCCAGGAGGCAGCCTGTGAGGCCTCTGTGTGCCTGCTAGCCCTGCTCACTCTGCACTTTCAGGCCTCCCCTCCCAGGTAAGCACCCACTTTCACTCATGGGTGGGAGAGGAACATGCCCTGCCCTGAATAGCTCTCTGTCTCTCACTCTGCCCAGAGCTGGGATCCTACTTCCACTGATCCCTCCAATCCGGACACATCAGCAGAGTGCTGGGCAGTGTGGGTGGGTGTTGGGGATGCAGTGAGAGGACCCAGTGTGGACAAAGAGGTGCTGTGAACCAGGGCTTCTCCTCGAAGATGGCTGCTTCCAAGCCCTGGGGGTATTTGAATGCTGCTGCTCTGCACTGTGTGAAGCTGTGGGAACATAGCGCTTTTCTCCTGGTCCCTGTATTTCAGGCTTGAGGAGGTGGTTCCCTTGGCTGTGGATCTCATCATGCAATCTCCTGTTGTCTGCCTTGTGGTAAGCTGCCCCCCATACCAGAGCCACCACTGAGCCCTGCAGAGCCCTACATCACATTTGGGTCTCACCATTCCTCACCCAGGGTGGGATGAGGCCGTGGGATGAAGGGTCAATACTGACCAAGTAGATGGGAAAGTCACAAAGGTGCTGAGCTCTCCCTGTCCCACAGGGTGCTGCAGCATTCCTCCTGGCACAACTCAGTCAGCATGGGGTGGCCTTTGAGCTCAAGGGAGAAGAGGTCCTACCAGTGGTGACAAATGCACTGACAATACCTGCTAAGGTATGGGATGGGGACAAAGAAGCTGGGGAGCCATGCACACCCCACTGTGGAGGTGTGCAAAGATGGGCTCAGAAAGGTGCAGGTGTGGTGCTGCTGCCCTCAGATCCAGCACCCAGCTCCAGCTTGTCCCCCACTCTCTTACAGCTGCAGCTCCCCCTGCCAATGGGTGCTGGTCTCTATGATGGGCTCTTTTTCCTCCTGCTGAAACTCCTTGCTCAGGTACCATCTTCCTTTGCCTGGTCCCTGCCAAAAGGGGGAGTGTCAAAAAGACCTGAATGTGGATTGGTAATGAGGCTGAGGCAAGCCAGGGAACTGTGGAGCTTTGGCCGAGCTGTGCAACCCCATGAAAGTCACCTAATGTCCCTGAAGAGTTGATGAGAGAGTGGTAGGCAGGGAGGGATGATCCATGGGCACACTGGAGAGAGAAGGCAGAGATGCCCTGGGACTGACACTGTTGGCAGGTACAGCAGGGCCCCTGGGCCATGGCCATCCAGCCCTGACCTTCCCAGGACCAAGGGGCTGGCAGAGCCATGGACCAGAACCACATGGGGGGCCATAAGGGACGATGATATCTGCCTCTAACTCTAGGACGATGTGGCCATGGAGCCGGGCTTTGCCTCCTCAGAGCTGTGGAGCCTTGTCTGGCATTGTGTTGCTGTGGTGCTTCAAGTGGGCAGTGACAGGGCAGCGCTGGAGGGAGAGCCCCCAGGGGCAGGCCACCCCATGGCAGAGCCAGACTGGAACCTCCTCTCCCCTCAAGGTAGGAGCTGCAGGACAGCAGGACATCCGCCCTGGACCCTGCTCCACATCCTGCTCTAAGACTTGCCCATGTCTGTCCCTGTCCGCATCTGTTCCCTGAGGCCAGAGGGCCCAGGTGGCTTTTCTTGAGGATTGCAAGTTGTCCTCTGGGGAGAGAGGACTTGGCTGGCCCATGCTGTGCCCAGTTGGCAGCAGCTCAGCTGAGCTGGCTGTGGAGGAACAAAAAGGGTATCTGTGCTGCAGATGTGACCACTGGGGTGGAGATTTTTTGGTTTTGGGCAGGGAAGCACAGAAGTAACCGTGGAGCAGCCTTGAGGTAGTATAGACACAAGAGAGACTTTTCAGCCTTCCCTAGCTTTGCATCTCTGCCTGCTGTTCCCCCTGCAGGCACCCTGCTCTTCCTCAGCCTGGCTGTCTGCATCTTCACTCGTGAGTCGCACCAGTGCCTGCCTCAGCTCACCCAGTCCCGTGGTGTCCTCATGGTGACCCTGAAGAGACTGCTGTCCCCCAGCTTCCTGGAATGCCTGGCACAGATGTGAGTTGTGGCAAGGGCTGAAGTGGGCAGAGCTCACCTACTGAATGGGGCTTGGATGTGAGCAAGCCAAGGGCAGAGAAGTTCCTGACCTGGCACTTGCAGAGCCTCTCCTTAGTGCCTGGTATGGGGAATGCCCTCTGCCTCTTGCCCTGTCGTTTTTCTGATTACCTCTGTATTAAACCCTCTCTCTCTCTCTAACAAATTCAGGCAAGCAGGAGAGGATGGGGACCCTGAGGTTGTCCCAGCTGTGGTCATCCAGGCCTGCCAGCTCCTCTGTTTCCCTTTTGCCCTGGATGTGGATAGAGACACCTTAGCACTGATCATGGAGGCTATGAGAGACACCCAGATCCCTGCCCAGCTGCTGCAGGTATCTTCTTGGCACTGTGTTTTTCTTCTCCTCCATACTGTGGAAACACCTCCCCACGCTGCAGCCCCCAACATGTGGCACGACTTCATACCATGGTGTCAGTCTCTGCCCACACAGGGATGTCACTTGGGTGCCATGCAACCCTCAGAACAGGTTGGCCTGCACTGACCTGCTGGCCACCTTCAGCTGTTGCTTGGCTTGGCTCAGCTCACACAAGTGCAGCGCACTCAGCACTGCTGTCTTTCCTTTCTCCTTAGGTCTGCTCTCGCCATCTGCCCTTCTCATTCACAGAGCTCCCTATGAGCCTCTTGTGCCACCTCGTTGTGTCTGACACTCAGGTCATAGACCAAGTGGTGAGGGAAGCTGCCACCTCAGAGCATGTCATTGCCTTTTTCAAATCTGCCTTGTTCTCAGACAACCTCACACTCACAACTGACCTCCTGTCTCTCTTGACCCACGTGGCCCGGGCCTGTTCGGAGCATCTGCCCTTTCTCCAGAGGATCCTGAGGGGCTTGGATGTGGCTGACCAGCCACTGACCTACCTGCTCGGCCACCAGCAATACCTGATACGGGCCAAAACCTGCAATCTGCTGGGCAACCTGCTCCGACACGGCTTTCCCGCGGCGCTGCAGAGCCATCCCGGCTGGCTGGAGAGCCTGCTGGGGTGCCTGTCGGACGCGGAGGGCAGCGTGCGCAAGGCAGCCAGCTTTGCTGTGGGCAACGCCGCCGGCCACGCGTCCTGCCCGGCCGGGACCCTGCGCAAGGCCGTGCCCGCGCTGGCCCGGCTGCTCAGCGACCTGCCGGCAAAGACGCGCTGCAACGCGGCCCTGGCCCTGAGCAACCTGGGCCAGCGCGGGGCAGAGCTGGGCGACCTGCTGATCCAGAGCAGGGCCCCCCACTTCCTGCTGCAGATGGCCTGCCAGGACCCCTGGGAGAGCGTGCGGGAGGGAGCCCTCGTGGCGCTGCGGGTCCTCAGCGAGCACCCCGGGATCCAGCAGGTACTGGACGGGGGACTCCTGGTGCTGTGGGGACAAGGAGCCGTGCTGGTGGGTGACTCCTGTTCCCCTCTCCTGGCTCCGCAGGTGCTGCTGTCCCTCGGAGCCCCCCACAGGCTGGCCGCGCTGGCTGGCGGCAGCCCCCGGCCGCCTCATGCCCGGCATTGCGAGGAGCTCCTTCGCCGGCTCGCAGCCGTGCCCGGTCCCGCGTGTCCCCGCCGGCTGCCGCCCGGCACCGACGCCGAGCGGTGACGCCCGGGCATCCCGGCACGGCACCGGCGCTTCCCCCCTCCTCCTCGGGCCCCAACCCGACCTTCCGTGGAACCCGCGTTGTCCGCCCGAGGGGGACCCTCCCCGGTCAGCTTTACCCGGGGCGCCTCCCGGGGGAAGCCGGTCTTGGAAAAAAAAAAAAAGCCCGTTCCTTAAGGAAGCGCCCGTTTCCCAGCGGCTCCCGGTGCCGTCCCGGGGCTCGTTCCGCCGCGCCGCCAGGGGGCGATGCAGCCTGCGGCGCGGGGGCTGCCGGGAGGTGTAGTCACGTGGGCCTACCGGCTCCCCATGGTAACGGCGGCGGCGGGTCCGGCGGGCGGTGAGTACGGTGGGGTCCCCCGGCACCGGGGCCCTGCTCCCCCGGGCGTGCGTGTCTCCCTGAGTGCCACCCGCAGGGTCCCCCCGCCGGGCCATACGACCTTTGGCCCCCCACTGCCTTCCCCGGCCCCTCCTGCCCCACCACCATGCCCGGCCCCGAGGAGGCATCGTGCTCCCCCCCGGGCCTTCTCTCGGGGCTCGCCGTGGCCTTGTTCCATTCCCCACTCGGGAGCACTCTGTGGCGGGAAATGCTGGGGTTGGCGGCCTGTCAGACCGTCCTGGAGCAGTACAGAGCATCCTGGTAGCACCTTTGGCCTCGAAGACTTTCACTTGAAGAAATGAGACACAGAGCGTATTCCCTGGGCGAGTGGCAGGGAGTGAGTAGAGCTGGCTCCCCAGCCAGCCACAGTCTCAGGGAACCTCTCCAACGGCACTTGGAGCAGCTTTGAGGCTGGAGCTGGGATTGACCAGGCTGGAGTGGGGCACTGGGGCAGCCTGGCTGTTCGTCCTTCCATTGTCTTGCCTTGACAGCTCTTGTGTTGTAAAAAGAAGCCGATGGGTCTGACAGGCGAAAGGCAGAGCTGAGTTGAAACAAGCCTGGAGTGTTTCCTGAATGCCTCCAGGGTCTGGGCTGACAATGAGGGGCACAGGTGTGTAAAGCCCTGTAGCACTGTTCCATCCTCCTGTCACCCTGCCTAGCTGGGCTGTGGGTAGCTCTTGGGAGGCAGAGTTCAGCTCCACATCAAAACCCTGCCTCCATGACTCCCTGAGATGCTACTTGTCTTGCTCATTGTGGTATGTTCCTCACTGAACAAGCAGGTGACACCTAGTGGCTTCTGAACAGTTTGGGGGAATTAACAGTGAATTGTTGGTCTGATTACAGTTTTATCTAATAAGTTTTCCTTGATTCTTAGAGTTTGTACCCAGCAGATAGTAGCACTGTTCTTACATTGCTGCCTTGCTGCACTCGTTAACTTTTGTGTTAGGTGAAGTTTGTTGATACAGATTGGCCCCTCCCACTCCTCACTCATGCCTGGGGCCCTTCTCAGCACAGCGAGGATCACATTTCGAGGAGGAGCTGAGGGGGGAAATGTCACTGTCCCCAGATAATGGTGCCTGCGTGATGTCATGTCACCGACACAGGTCGCGCGCTTTGGCTGCCGTGCCATCCTGGCTGGGTGTCACTCCTTGGCATTTCCTAGGTTTGTCCCGGGCATGAAGTCTGTGAGTATTTGGCAGCTTCTTCTCAACTTGAATCTCTGTTTCTTCTCCACTCCTGAGCTCTGAGAGATTGCTGTATGGAGTGAGGTTTTTGCAGTGCCTCCAGAGGAATTTTTCCCACTCCTGTCATGGACTTGGAAGTGTCCTCAGCATGTATTGAAAGACAAACCTGGGAACCTTTTTTTCTGGTTGTAGATATGTTTCAGTAAAAAGTATCAAGAGCAGAGGATGGACAAAGAATTTGTGTTTTGAGCTAATTGGGTAGTTCTTGTCTCATTGCTATGTGTTGATATTTTATACTTGTTCCACTCACTCCAAATCTTCCACTTTTATTTCTCTAGTAAAGGCCAGACTAAGACCAGACAGAGCTGTGCTGACCACCTGTCAGTTCCTGCACTGGTGGCTAAAGTCTTCATAAGTCTTGCTGTGTAATTCTCCTGCACTTTTTCTCCCATCGTGAAGCTCAGTTGCAGTCCCTTCAGTTTGGGTCTTCAGAAAGGGGCTTTAGACCTCCTTGGTGAAATGCTGTTAAACACCCGTGGTTGTTGCTTTTAACCCAGACTGTCTTCCCTACTCTTGTTTTACACTGTGGTACAACTGCTCCCATAGCCCATACGATGAGAAAGAATGAATCAGAGATGGGAGCAAGGGCAGGCACTTCCCAGCTTCACTGCTGGAGAAACAGAGCTTCATGGTCCACTGTCATTGTGCAAGGTGTCCACTTTGGGGCCTGGGGAATCTGCCAGGGAGAAAAGTTGATATCCTTGGGGGATTCCACACTCTGCACCTTTTGCCCTTTGCTATGGCCCCTACACTGCCTGGTCACAGCCAGGTCAGCCCTCCCAGTGTGAGCACTGAGACAGCCCTTTATTTTAGATGTCCCTGATGCACTCTCTCCATGGCAAAGCTGCAGTCCTGGATTGTCTGCCTAACAATGCTGGAGTCCTTCACATCATCTGGCGCTGTGCTCCAGTGCCCTGAGAGTGGTGGGAAAGTCCCTTGTGAACTCAAACACAAGAGCCTTCAGTCCCCAGCCCAGCCTGTGTGTGCATGGAGGGAGGCATTTGCTGCAGCACAAGGTGAGGTTGTGGCTGGATTCCAGCTCTTCCACGGCTTGGTCCAGCACCCTGCTGCCCCTAAGGAGGTCTACCTCCACCTCGGGAATGGGAGTGAACACTGGAGTTGTTCTGCTTCTCTTGCAGGGCAGCATTCTGCTTAGGTAAAGGCTCATTTTGAGCAGCCATACACTTCTCGTACCTCCTTTGTTCAGTGTGGAGTGAAGTTCAGCACTGCAGCTGTTGAATGGAAATTACTAGCCCCAGCGCAAATTCTGGGCACAGATGTAATCCTAGGATGCAGGTGGAATTTGCTGATGCATCCCCATAGTGGGTGGTTTCTCACTGGTATCTTTTGACCTGAGTGGCCAAGCAAAATTGTCATCCTCTTGTTTTGCACTCAAAATGTGGTTCTGCAGGATGATACTGGAGCTGCAAGGGAACAGCAGTGCTTAACTGTGTGGCAGAGGAGCACAACTGTTGGTCCCTGTGTCACTGGCATTTTTGTGTTGGCCGAACTGTCTCTGAGCTGTTTTGTCCTCATGGATGACTTCTTGTGGCCAGCAGAACCCTTTGCTCTTCAGGCTGAACTTGTGGGTGAAGTCGGACATTGCTTTGTCTCAGTGTGGGACTGCACTTGAGGCAATTTGTTTCCTGGAGCTGATGTAGGGGAGGGCTGTTCCTGTGCTGTTGAAACAAGAAGTTTGTACCTAGCTACCAGGTGTTGGAGCAGCTTTAGGCACTCAAATCAGTTGGTTTCAGATCAATGGTGTTGGACTTGTTCAAAGTTTTAAATTTTTTTAAAGGGGTACAAACCCTTATTTTGAAATATATTAATTTTAAAACCTACCTGTTTGGTGTCGTTGTTAACTTGCTTGTTCAAGCTTTAATCAGAAGCCCCAGAGCTTGGAGTGAGGAACTTGGTGTGAACTCGAGTCTCATTTAGAAAAACACGTTATCCCTTTTAATCATAAAGAACAGAAATTGCACCCTGCAATGGCATAGAAAACAATAGCAAGCACAGTTGTCTAACCTCCCCTCCTTGTGACTTTGGGCTATGTGAGGCTGACAGCCCGTTATCAGGTCAGCCTGAAGCGCATACATTTGCAAGCTCTTGTTATTTTAAGTGTGTCACCAAGCTGAGTTTAAAATAACCTCCCCAGCCAAACTCCTGTGACACCCGGGCTCTTATGATCTTGTCCTTTCCTGTTAGGAATGGGGCTGCAGAGAGCTGCCACATTGCCATCAGGGGAGCACATGCCACAGTGGGACTCGGGCTGGAAGAAATGATTTTCACTGACATATGCTGGGGTACACAGAGGCCAGGGCGTGTGGTGGCCCTGTGTGCCCCTGATGTGACATTCGCACAGGCTGTGGCAGTGCTCCAGCTGATGCCCTGAAGCCTCTGAGCAGGCTGTGCGGCAATAAAAGGTGCTAGCAAAATAGTTGAAAGCAAGTGCAGCTGTACAGTCACTCCAACAGTGACAACTTTGGCCTCTGTGTTGTGGGTCAGTAAGTCCAAGCCAAAATCCATTAATTACTTGGTTGGGTTTGAATTCCAGCCTGGCCAGTTTATCCTGGGCTTTTCCCAGCTCATGTTTCTGCAATAAAATTCCAAAGTGTAGTTTTACTGCTGTTGTGAGCTGCAGAATGGACTTCAGCTCCTTTGCCATAGGGTTGGGTTGGCAGAACTAGAGATTGCATCACGCTGTGACCTTCTTCCACCCCAAAACTCTGACTTGAGTTAAATGTAAAGGGAAAACTTCCCTGACTGGTAATCAGCAGGGATTTCCCTGAGGCAGATGATGTTTTTCCTGCCCAGAGCCACAAAGATATGCCAGCTGCTACCCTGTTGTGGCCATAGCCTGGCATGTGAAGGTGCCTCCATCTCCACCAGTTCTCTTGGATGCTCAGCAGCTGCTTTGTCCTGCTGTCCTTGCAGTGAGCATGGGAGACGGTTTGCAGATGGACATAAGGAGTGACTGTGCTGGCGTGCAGGTGGGACAGAAGGGTGGATGTGGGGAAGCACATGGGGCAGAGGGGGAAAGACAAGGCAGCATGGGCTGGTTCTGCTGATCTGGATGCATCCTCACCTGCTCCATGTGGGTGCATCTTCCTTTCATCCTTCCTGCCCCTCTCTCAGAGCTCCTGTGTCTCCATGGGGAAATGGTGGTTACTAGCTGTTGGCTGGCACCATCCTCACCTGGAAGCTGTACTAAAGACCCTGCTTCTTCTCTTCCTTATGTAGGCACAGCTTCCAGCGCACTCCTGCCCTGTGTTGACTGAGCAACTCCATGGCAAAACTGCCCCGTAGAGAGACAAGTTCAGCATGTTCTCCCTGTGCTGCAATGAGGCTGGGCTCCAGGCAGTGGCAGCTGAGGCCATGCCGTGGCCAG